GCACAGGGCCCTGCTGTGCGGTCAGACCAGACCAGGCAGGCAGGCAGCCTGTCTCCTTTCAGAGGAGCTGAAAAACAAAGCCCTGCCAGGCGCTCCGCTCTCCCTTGCCCCTGCCCCTGCCGCTGCTCTCCCTTGCCCCTACACCCAAGCACCGCCCCGCCGCCGGGCCCCCACCTCGCCCCCTGCCGCCGCCCCGCCGCCGCATGTCGAGCAGCATGTCGAGCGTCCCCGCCGCCCTGCTGAGCCCCATGGCACTCTGCTGGGCCAGGATGGCGGCCAGACGCTGCTGCCGCAGCGTCCTGCGGGGCGCGGCGCGGGGGCGGGGGCGAGGGTGGGATGGGATAGGATGGGCGGGGTGTTTACGGCAGGGGCTGAAGGGGTAGGGTGCTGGGACTGTCAGGACCCAGCCCCAAACCCCTCCCCAATGCTGCAGCAGGCAGCCGGCAAGAAAACAGCAGCGGCGGCGGCAGAGCGCAGCGGCAGCGCAAGCGGGGCAGCAGGCGCGGAGCGGAGGGCGAGGCGGGGAAGGCAGGCGCGGAGCGGAGGGCGAGGCGGGGAAGGCAGGCGCGGAGCGGAGGGCGAGGCGGGGAAGGCAGGCGCGGGGCAGTTGAGCACATGGAGGCGGCGTGTGGGGCCGCCCACCCACCTGGCTGCATCCAGCTCTCCCCGCTGGCGCCGCGCCTCGGCCTCCGCCTCCTTGCGAGCCACCGCCTCAGAGGTGGGGAAGGAGCGCTTGCGCTCCTTGATCCACCTGCGGCCAGGCAGCGGCGGCAGCGGCGGTGGATGGAGGCACGAGGTGGCGGCGGCGGCGGCGGCGCCCCGACGAGCGGCGGACCCCAGCCAAGCAGCCAAGCCCGGGCAGGCAAGCGCAGCCAGCGACGGCCCCGGCGCAGCCAGGCTGGGCAGGGACCGGCAGGCAGCCGCGGCGAAGGCAGCAGGCAGCCGCGGCGAAGGCTGGCAGCCTGGCAGCCCACTCAGGGCCCACTCACTGCTCCACCTCCGCCGCCTCCCCCGCCGACTGTGGCGGCCGCGCCACCGGATCAGCCGTCAGCCTCTCAGGCGGCGGCGGCGCCGCGTCCCTCTTGCGCTGCCGCTTGGCAGGCGGCACCAGCAGCGTGCGGCCGCGGCCTCCAGCGCCAGGGCCGCCCGCGCGGCCGCCGCCGGCCGCAGCCGCAGGAGGCCTGCCCGGCCCCGGGCGGCCGGCGGCGTATGCCGGCGGGCGGGCCATCAGGCCGGAGGGCGCTGCCGCCGGCGGCTGGGCGTACTGCTGCACGTACTGCTGCTGCTGCTGCTGCTGCTGCGGTGGTTGTGCCGCGGCCTGTGCTGCCGCCGCGGCCTGCGTGTTGTGCTGCATCAGCAGCATGCCGTGGCCTGGAGGATAGATGAGGGCCCCTGTGTTGGGGTTACGCATGATGAGCGGTGGTGGGGCGGCAGGCGGCGCTGCTCCTGCTGCTGAGGGCAGCTGCGGGATGGGTGCTCCCGTGTTGGGGTTGAACAGCTGCACGGGCTGGCCGGCCTGCAGCGGCGGCGGCGCCCACGGGCGCGGCAGCTGCGGCGGCGGCGGCGCGGCGGCCAGCCCCGCGGCGGGCGGCGGCGGCTGCTGGTGGCGCTGCGGCCGCATGATACCGCCCTGCCGCGGCGGCGGCGCTGCCTGGGCCGCCGATGCTGGCACCGCCGGCGGCGGCGCGAGCGAGGGGGGCGGCGGCCACGCAGGCGCGCCCAGCTGCTGAGGCCGCATGATGCCGCCAGCCGACATGGGACGCATCACCTGGCTGTAACCTTGCTGCTGCTGCTGCTGCTGCTGCTGCTGCTGCTGCTGCTGCTGGGCCTGTGCATAGAACGGCTGCAATGGCGGCGGCGGGCGCGCCACCGCCGGCCGCATCACCTGGCCCGCTGTGGCTGCCGGCGCTGAGCTGTAGGCACCTTGAATGGTGTGCTGAGGCGCCCCCGCCCAGGCCTGCTGCGGCAGCAGCCCAAAGCCATTGGCGGCGCAAGGCTGCAGGGGCGGGCAGCGGTGGGGCGCTTCGGGATCAATGTAAACGCGATGAGGGCAACGATGGCATGCAGGAGAGCCGGGTTGGGGGACACATGGGCGTGTGCAATCTGTGTCCCATAGGCACCCGCACCTGCTGCTGTTGCTGCTGTTGCTGCGCCCCTGGGGGGAAGGGCAGTGCAGGGCGGAAGCCGGCATAGACCGGGTACTGGCCAGGCTGCATGGTTGCAGGAGAAGCCGCGCGAGGCTTGAAGGCAGGGTGCTGGCTATCCGCAGGGCTGCATGGAGCTGGGGAAGCTTATCAGATGGTAGGGATGCGCGATGGAGAGCGGTGCATGTGCAGGGCGCCGAAGCCGCCCGACAGCTGCTAGTCCCGGCTTGCAGCCTGCCGGCAGTCTCCACGGCTCCCTTGCATCGTTTGAAGCACCCCACCGACTGCATAATTCAGCTCTGCACACCGCCGCATCGGTCAGCCGGGGGCCGGCCCGGTCAACACAATGCAAAAGCCGCTCCTGGCTCCCCAGCAACTCCGCCGCCATCTCGAGGAGATGGTGGTCGAGGATGCCCGAGCGAAGGTGAGGTCTATGCACACGCGACCGCATTGCCGCCACCTGCCGCTTCCGCCACTCTCATCGCCGCGGCTCACCATACCCACTTGACCGGCATTTATAGAATTGGAAATACCCTGCTGCAGGCCGTGGATGCCGCCAAGAAGAAGGCGATCAGGCAGCACGTGGATGTGGAGACGTTCCAGGCGCTGGTGTCTGCAGCGCACCTGCACCCCATGCGAGGCGGCCTGCGCATTGCGGCCGCGTCGGGCGGCAAGCCGGCGCCAGCTCCGCGGCACTTCCGCCCAGACGGCACCATCGCGCCGCCCACTGATAGCAGCGCATACCTGCCGGCGGGCCCCAGAACCAGCAGCAGCAGCAGCCGGGCAGACGAGGATGCGCTGCGCTCTGGCAGCCACTTTGCCAGGGCATGGCGTGCGGCGCCAGCGCCTGCAGACCGCCTCAGGCTGCTCCGCCGGGCAGTGGAGGCAGGGGCGCTGCCCCGCCTGATCAGGCTGGAGCTGAGCAGCCAGATGCTGGAAGAGATCGTGGGCTGCCTGGCAGGTGACCCTGCTGCTGCTACACAGCAGGCGGGACCAGAGCGGCCGGCGGCAGCGGCAGCGGCAACGCTGGACCTAGCGTCGGCGGTGCTCCGGGCGGCGGAGGGGGCGGCCGTGTTTGCGGTGGCGCGGGCGGGTCTCTCATTACAGGGCAGACAGCGGCTGGCCAGCCTGGTGGGTGCACTGGCGAGCAGCGGCCAGGCGAGCAGCACGGAGCTGCAGGCGCACGTGGCGCCGCGAAACAATGTAAGCAGGGTCTGAAGTGAAGAAGCAAGGGCAGGGCACGGGGATAACAGCAGGGTCAATCGGAGTGGTGGTACAGCGCAAACTAGGGCAGGGGCAAGAAGGGAGCGAGGCGCTCCAGCAGGCAAAGAGGTATCAAAACTGGCATGGGGCAGGGAGAGGCGTCAGGCTCTGTACACCGGGGCGGCTGGGGTTGGCATAGCAGTTCATGGCAAAGGGCGGCTGCCGTGTAGTATCAAGGCAGGGCAGGCATGGTATATCATGTGTCATCAAATTGTGTCTCTATTTTAGTAGAAGGGGATTCTCGGCTGGCAGGCGGCGGCAGCTGCTGTTGGGACGGCGCAAGGAATGCCAGCCGCGCGCCGCCTCACTCTCATTGATTGAATCCTGGGCGGGGTCTGGCCCAGCCACCAAGCGGTGGCTGGGCAGAAGCTCCCCATCCCGCAGGCGCTCGCTCTCGCTCACGCGCGCTCGCTGGCCGTGGCGCTCGCTCGCTTATTGAGGGCCCAGCGCCGCGGCCTCCACCGCCGCCATGACGGTTGGGCAGGCCGCCGGCACCGCCTCCAGCGCCGCCATCACGGCGGGGCAGGCAGAGGGGGTGGAGGGGCCGGCGTTGTTGATGCACGACACGCTGACAAAGGTGCCCCAGCCGATGCCCACCAGGTTGCCGGCCAGGATTCGCAGGTCCTGCGGGATCCACTTGAAGCTGCGGGGAAGGCGGGGGAGGCAGGGAGGCGCTGCACATGGGTGCCGCACAGCAGAGGCAGGGACGGGGCTGCACCTGGGACCCTGCCGAATGCAGCAGAGGGCTGAGGGGTGAGGGCCAAGCACCCTGCCGAAGGCTAGCTGCTGGCTGGTCCTCCCCGCCGGCTGCAGGAGAGGCGTGCGCCATCGCCGCCACCGCCACCCAGCCGCACCTGGCATAGTTCCAGGGCACCCACACCGCGTATCCTGCCAGCAGCGTCTGCACGTACTTCTCCTGCACGCGCGCGGGAGGGCGGCGCGTGTGGGCATGCCAGCATGTGAGCAGCGGCCTGGCTACCCAGCTGCCGAGGGGCAGCGGGCGGCAGCAGGCAGGCAGAGGCAAGCAGCGGCGGGGCCGCAGGCGGCAGGCAGGCAGCGGTGGGGCCGCAGGAGGCAGGCAGGCAGCCGCAGCAGGGCGGGCGGGAGGTACGGCGTGCCTGCATGAATGGCACGATGGTGTCGGGGCGCCCCTCCATCAGCTTTAGCGCCACAAAGAACACTGCAGGCAGGCACATGGGGAGCCACGCAACCAGGCGGGTGGACTGGCATGCCAGCGCCAGGGTGCACGCGGCACGACGGTCCAAGGCAGCCCCTACCGCCAACCGGGTGCATGGTTGATGGGTTGCCCGCCGGGCTGCCGCGCATGCATGCATGCATGCACATGCATGCCAGGGCCGCCCCCAACCCACCGGCCGTCATGACAGGGGTGAGCACCAGCTGGTCCAGCGCCATCTTGGTGACCACCTGCACCACGGCACTGGGCGCCGGTGAGCGGCGGCGGCTTGCCAGTGCGAGAAACTGGCAGCAGTCCTCATGGCCTGGTCTGGCTTCCTGCAGACAGCCGGCCCCACAGACGCCCGCGCGCCTCACCGAGCGGTTGCAGGTGGGGCTGTCCGGGCAGACGTGCGCCTCTAGCCACCTGTGCCAGTAGTGGCCCGTGGCGGCGCCCACCGTGCTGCTGTAGGCGGCCAGGCGCAGCATGCGCGAGGCGCTGAGCGGCGCGCCGCCGATGGCTTGCGCGATGAGGTCGCCCAAGCAGACACAGAAGAAGGAGGTGGCGGCCTTGGTGAACAGCGGGTGGCGCGCCAGGGAGTGAAGGTAGGCCTGCCAGAGGTCGGCCAGGCCTGGGATGGGAGCGGCGGGCACGGCGGCGGGAGCGGCGGCTTGGGATGGCGATGCCTCCGGCGTGGGCGCCGCGGGCGGGTCCGGGACCCAGGGCACCGGCGGCTGGAAGGTGGGCATCGCGGGCTTGGGGCAGGGCGTGGCGATGGCTGTGATAGGGGCCGCGGTGGCGTAGCGGCGGGCTACGCGGGCAGACCGCCGCTGCCAGGCTGTGGGTGACCGCGCCGCCACTGCCGCCAGACGGCACACCCGCATCGCGGCGCTGTGCATCGTGAAAGGGGCGGCCCAGAGCCTAGCTGTGCAGCCGGGTCGCCTAACAGACGCGGCAACGCGCTGGGGGAGTGCCGGCAATCTCGAGACGGTTGCAAGAGGTGCCGTGGAGGAGGAGATAGCAGATATTGGACACGAGAGCTCAGGAGTGGCGTGAAGAGCGAAAGAAGGATCTTCGTTGGTGCAACACGCATCTGTAGCTGCTCACGTGTGGCGGCTCCGTGCCACCTGGTCAGAGCTGTTGACCACGTCCAAATCGCCCATCGGTCCGCTCCAACCTCCCGTAACTGATGTCCTGCTGCAAAGTGCTGCTCCCTGGGCCAGAAGCTGCGGGAGCGATGGAGGCACTCCTGGCGCGCGGGCACCGGGCCGCGGCCGCAGGGGCGCCCCAGGTGCGGCGCCTGATGCTTGGGGGACGTGCGGGGTGGCTCTGGGCGCCAGCGGCGCCCGATCGGGCCGCCAATTGGCCCTCCCGCCGCAGGCCGCCATGACAGCCGCAGAGGCGGAGCGTGCGGCAGAGCGCCTGCGGGCCTTTGACATCGAAGAGGTGCGCTGGTTGTGCAGCCGGATGTTTCGTGTGGTGTTGCATGTGGGCTGGTGCCACTTGGACTGCCAGGCCCACCCTCCGCAGCACCCACCGCGCGCAGCCCACCTCGCCCACCGTTGCAAACATGCATGCCGCCACGCGTGCAGTACGGCACGCCCGCCTGGTTTGAGCAGCACGATGCGCTGGAGCAGCTCAACCTGCAGGCGCACCTCAACGCCCAGTCATACTCGGACGAGTTTGTGAAGGAGGCGGTAGTGTTGCACGACCGCGTGACGGTGCTGGTGCGGGAGCTGCTGATGGCCGAGGTGGGCTCACAGGGAGGGCGCCTGGGCTGGCCCAGGCGACAGGTGCTGCCAACAGCATGGACAGAACACGGACGAGGGTCTGTGCCACGAATCCCACTTAAAACCCTCCTCGCCACGCTCATCTGCGTTCATCTGCATTGCCTCCTGCTACCCGCCCCCTTGCCGGGCCAGCAGGTGTGGCGGGAGCAGGTGCTGCCGCTGCTGGAGGGGCACCTGGCGGAGCGGGTGGACTCGGTCACCGCCTATCAGCTGCTGTACCACGAGGCATCGCTGGCCAACCTGCTGGAGGTACCGCACAGTACCGTCACATTGAGCAGCATCCAACAGCCTCCTCGCCGCACCGCGCCATGCCAGCTGCTGGCCTCGCTGCCCCACCCCCCACCCCCCACACACCCACCCACCCACACACACATGCATGCCAGCTGCCATGCTGTGCTGACCGCCAAGATCATCCATCCATCCATCCATCCATCCATCCTCTCAACCGCCCCTCTCAGGTGCTGCTGTACCACCGGGACGCGTGCGAGGCAGTCAGTGAGGAGGCCCTGGTGGAGCTGTGCGACTGGTGCTCTCGCTCCATTCACTACCTGGCCACCGAGGCACACCAGCATGCCGAGTACAAGGGTGAGGGCGCTGCGCTGGCTTGCCCGGTCCGGGGCAGGTGGGTCAGCCCTGTTGCTGCCTGTCGGCCGTCTCGGCTGGCGCTGCGGCAGCCGAAGGGTTGGCACCTCACATCGCCGCCGCCGTCTTGCCACTCCTCCTGCCCTACAAATCCTTCTTCGCCTCCGTGCCTCTGCAGAGCGGTCTGCGGCGGAGCTTGTGGGGCAGGCGCCGCTGGCAGAGCTGCGCGAGCGGGCGTGGGAGGTGCGGTTTGGCGGGGCGCAGTGCGCGCTGGCCATCCTGCGCTACATCACAGACCACGCCCCCAAGCTGTCCCTCAGCGTGCTGGCTCGCATTGTGAGTGGCGGCCAGGCCGGGCGGCCCTGCTGGGGCTGGTGCCGCCAGCAGTGCCGCCGCTGTTGGTGGTGCAGTGGGCGCTGGTGAAGGGGACAATTTTGTCCAGTAAATTTCCCCTCCGGTTGGCGGATGTGCCAGCTTGTGCTGCCTGCTGAGCATGGGTCCCCTTCTGTGTCCCCCTGCTTGCTCCACTGCTCCCCGCCGTGGAAGGTGAGCACCAACGACACAGTCATGGCGCTGCTGCCACTGCTGGACCGCCCGCCCTGGGTGCGGCGCGGCAAGGGCGGCGCAGCCGAGAGGTTTGTGGGGGGCGCCTGGCAGGCGGTGGAGCCCAGGGAGCGGCACAGGCTGACGCAGCAGGACGGGCAGGTGGGGACTGGGCCTGGCGAGCTTGCCCAACACAGACGCCGCGCTGCATGAGGCTGGACCGGCACGAGCCGTGGGCAGCTGCGGCAGAGGAACGGCAGCTGGGCCGCTGCCGCCGCCCCCACCGCGCCGCCGCGCGTCCCTTGCAGGTCTGGCTGCTGCTGCACAACCTGCTGGCTGACGGGGCGGCCCGCTCCAGGATGGACATGAGCGAGGCGCGGTGCGAGGCGCTGCTGCGCCTCAAGCGACACTTCAACGAGCTGCTGCTGGACCAGGTCTGGGGCGGGAGCTGCTGGTTGCGGTGCTCGGCTGGCGTGCTGGTGTGGGTGGGGTTGCTGGTGTGGGCAGGGAGGCGCTGGTGGCCCGAGGAAGTGCTTGAAGTGGGAGTAGGGAGGCCTCTCGGCAGGGTCTGTTCTAAAGGTAAAGGTAAAGGTGGGGAAGAGCCTCCACAGGCTTAACTTCCCGGTTTTAACGTCTAGCTTTAGACCATTATTTGTTCTGCAGCGATTGATTGATTGCACTTGGGGTGTCCACCGCCCTCCCTGTGCAGCTGCCTGTGCTGCGGGACCTGCAGCGCATGATTGATGAGCTGGCGTTTGGGGTCAACAGCTCCCAGCCCGTGGCCACCCCCAGCCGGCTCATTGTGGAGCAGGTGCTTGCTCCTTCTTTCCAGCTGCTGGGCCGCGCAGCAGACCACAGCGCGCGGCACATGGGAGCTGGCGCCCCCAGGGGCCAGACCTGGCTTGCTGGGTGCAGCTGTGGCCATGGCAGCATGAGCCAACCCACCACCTGCCTCTTGGTTGTTCCGCTGCCTGCAGGTGCCCACCATCCGTGCCACCCTGCTGGGCCGCGGCGGCTGGCGGGCGCTGGCGGAGCGCCAGATGGCTGCACAGCTGGGGCCCGAGGCGCAAGTCCTGTCACAGCAGCGGCTGCAGAGCATGCTGCACAGCTTTGAGCTGATGTGTGGCATGGAGGAGGAGGGGGGCAGGCAGGAGGAGGTGGGTGGGGGTGCGGGACGCCAGGGGGCCACGCCACAGCTCTGATGCGCAAGCCGTGCTGTGCCCACCCTGCTGGCTTGGCACGATGAAAGCGGCGCCACGTTGGCTTGCTGTTCACGTGCCTCCCTCTGTGCACGAGGCCTGCAGGCCGGCAGGGGGCTGCCAGACAGGGTCAAAGTGGATGCCTACCGCCAGGTCAAGCCGGGCGTGTGGGAGTGGTGGTCAACCTATAACCTGCACATCAACACAGAGCAGCCGCCAGAGGCTGTGGCGAGCGGCGCAAGTGGCGGCAGCAGGGGCGCTGCTTCCGGCGGCACGCCGCAGGGCAACGAAAACCAGCCGCAGCAGCCCACCAGTAGCAGCGGCGGCGAGGCCGGCGCGGGTCCTGCGCCGGTCAAGGGCAAGCGCTACCGGCTGCAGCCGCTGTCGGAGAGCCTGCAGCGCGCGCTGCCTGCGCACGGCAAGCTCGCGGTGCTGTATGGCGGACACACCTGCGAGGCGCAGCTCAGCCTGCCCGCCAGCGAGACCAGGTGGGCAGAGGCCGCCGGCCTCCGGCCACGTGCGCATGGTGGCGCCCACCATGGCGGGATTGCTGTACCTTGGTTTGTGCACAATGGCCTTGGCACTGTTACTGCTAAAGATGTGGGGAGTGTGCACTCCCAGCTCACTCCCTGCTGCCGCGGCCGTGCGCAGGGACACGGGCGGCCTGGCGGCAGCGATGTGGCTGACGGTGGGCGGGCTGGCGGGCAGCGGGCTGGCGCTGCAGCTCAAGCTGAAGCGCCTGGACAAGCCAAGCGAGCGGGACAAGGCGGCCGGGGTGTGGTACCCTTATGTGCTGGTGGGGGGAGCGCTGGCGGTGAGGGATGGCCTGCTGCAGGCGGCGGCGTGAGGCGGCGGCGCGTGGCGGGGCGCTGCCACCTCGGCACCATATCATAATGAAGAGCCTCCAATGCACTAGCGCTTGCCTGTAAAACCGTCGGTGCGTTTGGGGATCTTGGTCAGTGGCTCAAGCCTCTTTCCAGGGGCAAAGGCCGTGGGGTTTTCCAGGGGCAGAAGGCGGTGGGGGCTAGGCGCTGGTGGCCAAACACCGCTGTGATGTTCCCGGGCAGCCTCCTAGTCGGGCTGCGCCCAGTGCAGGCTGTGGTGCCACCGGGCCTCCAGTCCCGCCAGCCGGCGGATGCGGGGAGCCGCAGGTATTGTCGGGGCGGCCTCTGCGGTGTGCGGCAGTGGCACGAGCGGCACGTGGGCATCAGCTGGCAGTAATTGGCCGCAACAGCGGGCGCCATCATGGCGCTGCAGATTCAGAGGCAGCCGGCCTCTACTTCTGTGTGACAAGTACCGCGCCGCGGCGGCGGCCTCAGTGTCGGCCACCTGGCGGTGGGCGGGTGACCTTTGCGGAACGGTGTCGGCCGCCCTCGGCACGGTTTCTATTGCTTCTAGTACCGACTAGCGTCCGACTGGAAGGGTCAAAGTGGCGTTTATAGAGGAGCGTTGAGACACATCTGCATTCCGCGGCTCGGAATGGCGCTGGCCGGCGTCTGCAGAGGAACTGCGCGGGGACTGCTCTCTGCAGCAGCGGAACCGGCGCTAGCAGTGGGCTGCCTGCAGCTGGTGCGGGGCCTGGCCACCGGCACCGGCGCCGCCGCTGCTGCCGCTGCCGGCGAAGGAGAGCAGCCCACGCACGTGTTTGATGACGGCGGCGACATTGTGGGCACCTACACACCCGTGACCAAGCGGCTGTGGCAGCAGCGCTACAAGTGGACCGACGACAAGCTCGCAGCCGCCGCCCCGCGCGACCCCGCGGCGCAGCTTGTCAAGCCTCCCAAGCTCACGACCGTCGTGTATCCCTTCTCCAGCGACGAAGTCCTCAGGGAGCATGTGAGAGCAGGGCTGAGGGGATTTGTATCACATGGGGGCATGCTGCAAGGCTCTGCAGCTTCTCCTCTTGCGGGCGGCAAGCACCACAAAACCCTCCCTTGAGCAGCATGTTGCCTCTTGTCCGTTGCGGTTGTGCAGTATAAGAACCCCTGGAACACAGTGCGCATTGCACGCGTGCTGGAGGACCTGGACTCCCTTGCAGGCTTCGTGGCCTATGAGCACTGGTGAGTGGGGGGGGGGGCGCCTTAATTCATCACCCCGCGCCGGGCGGTGTCGGGCTGGCTGGCAGAGTTTGTGTTGTCGTTTAGTGTGTGCCGTGGTGGAGCCAAGCAAGGCGTGCCGTCGCGCCCGCGTGGCAAGCGTGCTGCCGCCTGGCCGCCCCCGCCTGGGCGCAGCGACGACGGCGACCCCGCCACGCGGCCGCCGCTGCTGGTGACGGCCACCGTGGAGGCGATTCAGCTCAGCAGCAGCCAGCTCAGCCTGCAGCATGACATGGCGATGCGGGGGCGGGTGGCGTGGACGGGCACCAGCAGCATGGACATCCGAATGGAGCTGGAGCAGGTGGGTCGCTGCTGGGTCTGTCCCCTGGGCTGTGCTGGCGGCCCGGCACCGGCACCAGCACCACGGCAGCGCACGCCAGCCGGGGTGGGCGGGAGTTGCTTGCTGCCGCTCCACGGTTCTGCTCAGCATGCCGCTCGGGCTTGGGTTCTCTTGTGCAGGGCGGCAAGCAGCAGCTGACGGCACTGTTCACGTTTGTGGCGCGAGACGCGCTGAGCGGCAAGCCCTTTGCCATCAACTCTCTGGAGCCTCAGAGCCAGCAGGACAGGGAGCTGTTTGAGCAGCGGCTGCGCATCAACCAGGAGCGCAAGGCCGCCCGCAAGCGCAGCGCCGGCAGCGGCAGCGGTGGCAAGTTGCAGCATGGTGCGAGAGCCCTCCCATGGGGAGGCAGCTGTGCCTTGCCTGCCTGCATATCCTGCCTGGCCCCGGCTGATGCCTCACGCCTGCCCTGGCTTGCTGCGCCTTCTGAGGCTGTGTGCTGCCTGCCTGCCTGCCTGCTGCCTGCAGTCAGTGCTGAGGCGGAGCGGTGGGCGGAGCAGCTGCTGGCTGCGGCAAAAACCAAACGGGATCTTCCGGCGCTGGCGGGTAGGTTCCCCTCCTCCAGCCAGCTGCTGCTCTGCCTGATACCGCGGCAGTGCTGCTGCTGCTGCTGGTGGCAACCTTTGCCGTATGCCCCTACTCGCCCACTCCCTGCAGACGCCAACCTGCTGCTGATGGATGACACCTCGCTGGAAAACACCTTCACCTGCCAGCCGCAGCAGCGCAACATGCACGGCCGCATCTTTGGCGGCTTCCTCATGCGGTGCGGGCAGGCGCTTTTGCGTCGATGTTTTGTGGCAGCCGACTGCTCTTTCCCGCATCCATCTGCCTGGCCACAGTCCTGTTGATGCGTGCCCCGCAGGCGCGCCTTTGAGCTGGCCCACTCCACCGCCTACCTCTTTGCCGGCTGCCGGCCGCGCACAGGCAAGCGGGGGCGCCCACCCTCTCCCGTCGCCTCCCTTCCATGCCCCATCTCCTGACGTTCCCTTGATCCACCATGCGTGTCCACCACTCCTCTTTCTGTGCAGTGGAGGTCGACCAGATCACTTTCCAAAGGGCGGTCAACGTGGGGGATCTCATCAAGTTCAAGTCGCGGGTCACCCGCGCCTGGGCGCTGCCAGACCAGCCAGGCCAGGTGCCGCTTGGAAGCACGGCGGCCAGGCTGGCAGACAGCTCGATGGCAGTGTGCCCGCATTTGGCAGGCAGCAGAGGGTGCCCGGTGGTGTCAGGGGCGCATGCTGTTCATGTGGCACCGGCCAGCAGCTGCGGCATGCTGCGAGGGCTCGGCTGATCCTCATGCTGTGCCGTGCTGTGCTGTGCCGTGCTGTGCTGTGGTTGCAGGGCGTGGTGCACCTCCAGGTGGAGGCCTCGGTCACGCAGCCCGAGCGGCTGAGCAGCGAGGTCACCAACACAATGAACTTTCGTGAGCAGCCTGCCCGCCCGCCTGGGCCGAGCCGCCGCCGCTTACCTGCCCCGTGCTCTTGTCTGCGTTGTGGCACGTCCGCCGCAGTGCGCCTGCCCTGGGAGCCTTCACCGCCGGCCCGCTCGGCAGCGGGCCTGCCTGTTTTGGTCTGTCACCGTGGTGGGCGCTGTCCCCGCTGGCCTCGCTCGCCAGCCCGTAGCCACCGCAGCTCCCGACCCATACCTCACCCTTCGCTGCCGCAGTGTTCCAGGTCGACCTGCGCTGCGACGCAGCCGGCCACTTCATCCCTCCCAAGCAGGTCCTGCCCAGCACAGGTGGGAAAATGCGGGAGATGTGTCATCCAATGCGACAGCCATGCACCGCCCTGCGCCAGCTGACTCGGTGCGTCCTGCGCGGTGCAGAGCAGCAAGCGCTGGAGGTGGCGGCCCTGTTTGGGCCCGGCGGCAGGAAGCAGAGCATTGCACCAGCAGCAGGCAGCCGCGGCAGGGGCGCACCTTAGCCTACAGCTCCCTGCGGGGCACCCCCCAGTGTTGGCATGCAGTGTAATTTACACACATTCAGCACTGCACTTGCTTTACTCAGCCAAGCTTCTGTGTAACGACATGATGGAGGCATGGTGCATAATGGAAGCTGTCGGCAGGCGGTGTGCGCCTGTCGCTATCTGGCGGGCGGGCGACGCGGCCCCCTTCTGTGGAGACCAGCCGCCAGCCGCGGAAGATAAAAGTAGCAACGCGTCAGTTGCCTGCTTTGAGACACCAGGGGCGTCGCGATGAGCTCCACGAAGTCGTCTGTCAGGTGCTGGGCGCGGCTCTCAGCTTGGCGTTTACCAGCTGGTGTTTCAGTTGTTGCAGGATTGAGTGCTGGGCAGAAGGCAGACAAGCAGGCGCCTAGGCGCGCCTGCCCTGTATTCCTGGGCCTTCCACCCATCGCTGACCTGGCTAGGCTTGAAGAACTCAGCCAAAATGTTGCAAATCAGACATTCTCATCAATCATAGTTGCCCGATCATGCGCGGATAGGGCCCCTGGTGCGCTCAGCTCGCTGCGCCGACCTGCCTGAGCGCCAGAATGTGGCGTCGATCTCTCCTCACTGCAAGATCGCTGTTGGGAACAACGGCAGACGTGGCCCCGGTCGCTGCCCTTCAACAGCTGCTGCGCTCTGCCCCTCGCCTCTTCTCTGGCGACTCGGCCGGCAGCCCCCCGGACGGACAGGGCACGCAAAACTTCATTCTGGCTTCATCCACGCCCATCACAAAGAAGCTCTGGCGGGAGCGGTGAGCAGCCGCCGTCGTGGCCGCCGCCCCCAACTCCTTGCTCGTGGCCTGTCCAGCCTGCCCAGTGTCGCTGATTTGCCGCCGCGCTGCTCTTGGCAGGTACCCCTGGACAGAGGAGAGGCTGCTGGCGGCGCCGCCGCGCGACCCCGCCTCTCAGCTGCCCAAGCCGCCACGGCCGCTTCAAGTGACCTACCCTTTCAGCAGCGACGACCTGCTGCGAGAGCATGTGAGCAGCACACGACACCAGCACTGCCGCTGGGGACTGCGCTGCAGGACGTGACTCTGCCTGTGTTCTTCCTTATGCCCCTGCATGTTCATCGCTCGCTGCCTGGCACCGTGCCCTTCGCGCTTCCCACTGCCGCGTGCCTTCTTGCGGGGCAAGCCCTGGCCTCCCCCACCATCCGCACTGAAGCAAGCGCCCTCGCGTGCCCCTCGCGGTGTGCCTGGTGTGCAGTACCGGTCACCGTGGGGCGAGGTGCGGATAGGGAAGATTTTGGAAGACCTCGACTCCCTCTCAGCCCTCATCGCCTTTGAGCACTGGTGCGTGCATGTGGCGCGCCACGGCTGTACAGCATTGGCAGATCCGGCTGTGTTGGGCCGCCATGCCTGCGCTCCCAGCTGCGAGGCTTGCGGGCGCTGCTGCCGGTGTCCATCCGGCCCTGCTGTTGTGGCCAGCAGCTCAGGTGTTCCACCCCATCTGACGCCCATCCACCCATCCCCACACACCCACACCTCCCCTGCCTCTGCAGCAACGTCGCTGACCTGGCCTCGCGCCCGCCGCTGCTGGTGACGGCGGGTGTGGAGGCCATAGAGCTCCGCAGCAGCAGGCTGGAGCTGCGGGAGGACATGAAGGTGTGAGGGGCCAGCCCCGGGGAGGGCCGTCGGATAGGCCGCACACGCTGCTCGTGTGCTGGCTGGCGGGGCGCGTCGCAAGCGCACCCGGCGCTGCCCTGGCATGGCCTGAGCCCTGTCCCGCCTGCCTGCCTGCCTGCCTTGCAGATGAGCGGGCGCGTGGTGTGGGCTGGCAGCAGCAGCGTGGACATTGGCATGGAGCTGGAGCAGGTGGGCAGCACTTGCGGGCACCCACCCACCGTTCCAGCAGCCCCATCCCGCCGTGCGCTGATGTGGCTCCCTCAGGTGTTTCGATTAGCAGCCGCCAATGCACCAGCCACACAAACCTCCCTCCCGCCATGCCTGCAGGCGGGGCAGCTGCAGCTGACGGCGCTGTTCACGTTTGTGGCGCGAGACATGCTGACCAACAGGCCGCACCCCATCTCGCCGCTACACCCCAAGACTCGCCAGGTGGGTGTGGGACCGCACCCCTCTCTGCCCCCGCAGCCAGGCGCCTGCTGTTTGTTTTGAGAGCGTTGCCAACGGGCCATTTGTGGGCAGCCAGCAGCTTGCACAATGCCTGTGCTGGCAGCCAGCTGCATGCTGTGCCGTGCCATCCCGCTGCCGTCGGTTTGCCGCCGCACGAGATGGAGGTCCAAATGGTGCCGCTACTGCCGAGGGCCGTGCAGGAGCGGGAGCAGTTTTGTGAGCGGGAGGTCATCAACCAGCGGCGCAAGGAGGCGCGGGCAGCAGCCAAGGGCAGCACATCTCTACAGCAAGGTGAGCAGGCACACTGGGCCAGGCATGGAGCCGAGGGCCGGCGTAGGAACCGCTGATGAGGCTGCCGTGGCAGCAGCTCCCTTGAGCCAAAACTGCTCTGCCCAAGCAGAGCTGCCAGGAACCCAAACTGCTGTGCCCAAGCAGGCTGCTGAGCGCTATGGGCTGCTGCGCACCGCCATCGCGTGGCGCCCGACTCGCTGCCCGGCAAATGCCTGCCTGCCTGCAGCAGCCAGCCTGGAGGAGGCGCGGTGGGCGGAGCAGCTGCTGGCGGTGGCAAAGACCAAGATGGACCTGCCGGCACTAGCGGGTGCGAGGGGCTGGCGGGCAGCACGGCTATCATGCTCCGCATGGGCCTGAGGAGCACGCCTCTGAGCACCATGGCTTGAGCAGCACAGCCTCACTGCTTCCCTTGCCCGTGAATGGCGCCTCCCTACCTGCCTGCTGCATGCAGACTCCAACCTGCTCCTGATGGATGACACCTCGCTGGAAAACACCTTCACCTGCCAGCCGCAGATGCGCAACGTGCACGGCCGCGTGTTTGGCGGCTTTCTCATGCGGTGCGCCACCTGGCAGGCAGGCCGCAGGAGGCCTCGCATCCATCGGGCGGCGCGAGATGCGGCTCAGCGCCTCCAGCGCGGAACCCTAAACACTTGCCAGGGCTACTGTACAGTCGCATGTGCAGCTGCTGCGTGTGGCAATCTCGCCGCTGGCTGAGGTGGCCGCTGCCCTCCCTCCCTCCCTCCACTGCCCCGCAGGCGCGCCTTTGAGCTGGCCCACTCCACCACCTACCTCTTTGCCGGCTGCAGGCCGCGTGCCGGTGCGTTGCCTGCCACCTGGCACGCTTGGCCGGGGGCGTGGAGGCTCCAGCCCCGGCGGGCACAGCACCCTGCCCTGCGCTTCCGATCTCACCTGATCTCAGCCACCTGCCCGTCTTCGCCTCTTCACCCCACCTGCACGCGACTGGCGCCCCGCCCCGCACCGGTGCTTTGCCTCACCCGCCGCTCCTGCCCGCGCCTCCCTGCCTCCCTGCAGTGGAGGTGGAGCAGGTGACCTTCCGGCGGCCGGTGAACATCGGGGACCTGATGCGCCTCAAGTCGTGGGTCACGCACACCTGGGTCTCGCCTCACAACCCTGAGCAGGTGCTGGTGGTGCTGGACGTGCCTGCGGATGCTGGCTGGCAGCGCCGGCGGGCGGCGCTGATGGGCGTGGCGGCTTGGGGCTGCCTGCTGCAGCCGGTCGCCAGGGATCCTTCCTTGGGGCGCGGCATGAGTGGTGCTGAGCTGTGCTGTGCCATGCTGTGGTTGCAGGGCATGGCGCAGCTGCAGGTGGAGGCGTCGGTCACGCAGCCCGAGCGGCGCAGCAGCGTCGTCACCAACACCTTCCACTGCGTGTTCAGCTTTGAGCTGCAGAGGGATGAGGAGGGGGCCCCCGTCCCGCCCAAGCGCGTGCTGCCATCCACAGGTGCGCAGCCCCGCGGGCTTGGCATGCCATGTACATGATGCATGCATGTGTGTCCGTGCCTGCGACCGTACCGCCTGCGTTTGGAAGGTGGCAGTGCTTGATGCCGGCGGCTTTTCCTGTCTGCATGTCTGGCGTGTCTTCGCTGCTCCTGGCGTGCTGCTGCAGCCGCCGACATGCGGTCCCTGCCGCCCCCTGCCGCACCTGCCTTGCAGAGCAACAAGCGCTTAAGGTCGCTCGCGCCGTGTTTGGCCGGGAGCTCCCATTCTAGTTCTAGTAGTGGGCACCGTTTGGTGCCCCTTTAGGCAGCATGATACCCTGGAATTGCGCTCACGATTGCTCCACATGCCCTCCCTCCCCGTTCTTTATGGTTGCTGCTTTGCTGCAAGCCTGTTTGTGTAGCACCCTCTCGCTTTGTTGCTCGCTTTGTTGCTACCTTCCCTCGCTCTCCCCACGCTTTCGCTGAGTACCTCCTCCTGACTGCACCTGATTTTTTGCTGATTGTTTGCACTTGTCGACTTCCAACGGTAACTTGCCCTACCACCCACCCTGGCTGGTGGAGACTGTCAGAGCAACCCGCAAGCATCCCCTGGCGGTCCTGGTTTGCTGTGTTTGCGGTTACAGCAGTAGAGAGGACACGTATGTGCTGCACTGTCAGGGGGGGCGCCAGGCCCATGCGCCGAGTCGCTCAGCGCAGGGGCCTGGCGGAAAAGGGGGGCAGAGAAGGGGGGAGAGAGAGAGAAGGATGATGACGTGGCCGGCCAGCACCGACAAGGTGGGCATAGGGTGCTGATAGCGTATAGGGTGCTGGGGGCTGGAACAACCGCTTGCTCACAAGGGCGTGCGCAGACGAGGGGAAGGGATACGGATTGCTGCGTGTTGAGAGGGCCATTCGTTTGGATTGGACGTGGGTTGTTCTGCGCAACCGGGGTTATCGGGGGGGGCGACAGGCGTGCACTGGCAAAAAGACGGGAGGGGGCGCAGCGGGAGGAAGCAGCGAGACGCTGCGCGCCCCAGCGGAGATGAAGGGGGCAGGCGGGCCTTCAAGGGGCGGCGACGCCACAAGTGGGCCCCGCCAAATACAGATGTGACCACCCCCGCTCGAGCCGGGACCCAGGAGGAGGGGCGGGGCGAGGTACGGCGGTGGGCATGAGAAAGAAAGTAGGGGTGGCGCGGCGCCACTCTGGGGTGGATCAATGGGAGGGGACATGCATGGTGGGGGATGAATGAATGCGCTACATAGGCAGAGACACGCAGGCTGCGCCGGCGGGCGCAGGATGAGCGCCGAGGGCATGCCACCGAGCACCGGCAATGTGCGGCGGGTGGGGTGGGCGCGCTCGGGCAGGCGGTCGTGCTGACAAAAGCAAGGGACTGGGCAGCAGGCTCCCGCAGGCACCGAAGGCGGGAGGGCGCGTAAAAAAACACAGGGATTAAAATTGCGACGGAGGGAAGGGGCAGGGTGCCCGCGTGTTGCGGGCAGAGTGCATGGTTTCATGTGCATGCAGGGGGGTGCTGTTGTGTGTGTATATCAGCAAGCTGGCACAGAGGCATGTGGCCAGCGGCATGAATGCATCAGCTCAAAATAGGAAAGGAAGAGCAGGGGTGTGGGGTGGGGTGTATGGAACAAAAGGGAGCGTGCCCATGCAGTTCTTTATCCTGAGCTCAAGATATTGGACCCTCATTCGTTGGTTGGTTGCTGTGGCTGGGCTGGCGGGCACCGTTTGGGTGCCGGCGGCCGCCCCCGCGCGCAGCAGGAGTATGAAGCGGGGGGCGCGAGGGGGGCGGCCGAGCATGTCGTGTGTTGCGTTGGCCGCGGGCGGCTGCCGATATGTGCATGCTGAGAGCAGCCGGCGCCGCGGGGGCTCGTTGTTGTTTGGGGAGGCGCTGGGCCCGGCAGCGTGCCGGGCCTGCCTGGGTAGAGACAGGGAGAGAGACAGAGGGAGGGAGAGAGGCGCAAGGGGTGGTGGCGGCGGCGTGGGCGCGGACGGGGCTCACGGCTTCTTGCCGCCGATGGCCAGCAGCAGGGCCGCGGCGTTCTCGTCAAGCGCGGCAGGCGCCATGCGTGCGCTGCGCGCACGCTGCGTCTCCTGGCGCTGCAGCACAGGGGACGGGGGGGGGGGCGGCGGTCGGCGGCGCGGGTCGGCGGCGGCGAGGGGGTGCTGGCCCAGGCGCGGTTGCAGAACACATCCCTGCAGCACGCAGCCCTGCAGGGCACACAGCGGCAAGCCAGCCCCGCTGCACCCTATGCGCCACATCCTGCCCAGCGTCTGCCCGGCAGCCGCGCCCATTGCTTGCCCAGCCCGGCGCACCTTGTACGCGCCGCGGGGGCTGGCCGCGCTGACCACCCCGGCATCCACCTCGTGGCTGTGGCTGCCCAGCGCGTGGCCCGTGGTGCCGCTGCTGGCCTCATCGGCATCCACCACCGCCGCCGCCTTGCGCTTCAGGTGCATGCGGCCCTCGCTGTACAGCTGGGAGGCGCGGCGCGGGGCGCCCGCTGAGCCGGGCCCCGCGGCGCCGCCGCCGCCGCCGCGCTTGCCGCCCGGCGCCGACTGCACCTCTGCGCCCTCGCGGCTGCTGGCCAGGGTGGCGGTCCCCGCCCCCGCCGCGCGGCGGGCCAGCATCTCTGTGTCCACTGCTGGGCCAAAGGTGAGCTGCGGGTCCTGCCACCACTTGGTGGCGGTCGCGGTGGGCGCGCCCGTGCCGCCGCCCGCGGTGTGCGGGTGCGTGGAGCAGCCGCCGCCGGCAGAGGCGTGGGGCGGCGGCGGCGGCATGAGGGCCGCGGCCGCCGCAGCAGCCGCCTGCGCCGTCGCCAGAGACATTCCGCCCATCTGCAGAGGCGGCCGTGCAGGAGGCCAGCCAGGTCAGGCGCACCAGGCGCAGCAGCAGGCGCAGCAGCAGAGGGCGCTCGGCAGCCCCGGCAGCTCCAACACAGCCTGCCAGCGCTGCTTCTCCCTCATCCTGCCTCTCCAGCTGGAGCAAAGCATGCGGCCCCCCATGCACACCCACACACCAGCACACCACCCAGCCCCGCAAGAAGCACGCCGCCGCGCGGCTCCGCAGCAAGCGTGCGCATGCCCTGCCCGCCGCCCCGCCCCACCTGCTGCGCGTGCGCGGCCGCCTGGGCGTGCTGGAAGCTGGCGGCTGCCTGAGCGGCGCCATAGTAATTCTGGTACCACCAAGACATGGGGTCGTTGCTGGCGGCGGCGGGCATGCCTGGAGGCATCATCATCATGGGAGGCGCGCCAGGCGGGCCGGGGCCAAACGGCGGCGGAGGCACGGGCTGCGCGTCCGCCGGCGGCGGCGGCGCCGGCACGCCGGCCGGCGGCGCGGCCACGGCGGGCTTGGCGGTAGGAGCCGCGGCCGCCTTGTCGGCGCCGGCCGCGTGCGAGGGCTGGTGGTGGGCGAAGCCCACGGCCGCCAGGCCTGCGTCCTGGCCCACCCAGGGAGCCATCTGCGGCGGGCCCTGCGGGACGGGCGGCAGGCCGCGCGCCGCAGGCGGCGCCGCCTGCTGCTGCTCCTGCTGCGCGGGCGGCCCGGGGGGGGCCGCCACGCCCCACTGCCAGGTGGCGTTGGGCGCCACAGAGGCGCCAGAGGGCGTGGCCACCGCCGTGTGAGCGAGGTACATGTAGGGGAGAGGCGCGGGGGGCGGCACGCCGCGCCCCACCTGCTGCGGGCTGGTGGAGCCGCCGCCGCTGCCGTTCTGGCCGCTGCCGCTGGCGTTGGCGTCGCCCGAGCCGCCGTCGTCGTCGTCGCCGCTGACGCCAGCCGTCTGGGCGGCCTCCCCGGGCAGCTGCGGTACCGCCGCAAACTGGGAATCCGGGCGGAAGCTGGAGGGGTCGCCCGAGCCGGAGCCAGGCACGGTGGCGCCGCCGTTGGGCGTGGTGCGCTGGCCGCGCTTGGAGCCGCGGCCGCTGCCGCTGCCGTGCTGGCTGCCCACGCTGCTCATCAGGCGCCGTGCCTCGCCCATGACCTGCGGCGGTGGGAGAGGGAGGGGGCAGCATCCGGCGGCGCCTGGTCAGCACCAGCACCCTTTCACCCTTTCCTGCTTCTGTGCACACAAAAGCACAGGCATGGCGGCATGCTGCACAGCCCTGCCGCGTCAGCAGCCCCTCCTGCCTGCGCTGGGCAGGCTGGGAGGATGACGGGCGGGGATTCCGCTCGCTGCGCACCCCGTAAACCCTGCACCCCGTGCCGCGTGCAGCCCCCGCTCCGCTGAGCTGGCGCCGCCGAGCTGAGCTGGCAGCCCCTCCGGGCCGCGGCTGCTGCCCACCTGCTGGACCTCTGGGCAGTTCTGCATGAGCAGCTTCTGGATGGCGATGGCGCGGTGCAGGTCGTACAGCTGCTCCAGGAACAGCACCTGCTGCCTGCAGCACGGCGGGACGGCGAGGCGGTACAGGCGTCAGCACGCGCCGCGCGCGACGGCTGCCGCGGCGACAGGCCAGCAAGCGAGGCACGCCTTGCCTGCCGTCTCGAGTGATCCGCGTACCAGCAACCAACACCATCAAACGAGCGCGCGCGAGAGCAGCAATAAAACGGCAGGGGCGCGCAGCGCAGCGCCACGCCCCCGCCAGCCCGCGCCGGCCCCCTGCTGCCGCAGCCCCTCACCGTATCATGGTGTTGCGCACGCTGAAGGCCATCTCGTCGCCCAGCCGCACCCGCGTGGCGGCAAAGCTGCCAGACAGCCCATCGCCGCTGGCCTGCAGCGTGGCCGCCGCCGCCGCGGCGGCGGCGCCGCTACCGCTGCCGGCGCCGCTGCCGGCGCCACCGGCGGGGCCGCTGCGCGCGCCTGGTGGCGCCGCGCTGCCCATGCCCTCTGCCGCGGCCGTGGCTGCTGCGCCGTGCGAGGCCGCCGCCGACTGGTCAGCTGCGGCGGCGGCTGCGGCGCCGCTGGGTGCTGCGCAGGGCGGGCAGGGCACTGCGGCGCCGGAAGGAGAGGGCGCGCTGGCGTGCCGCGGCAGCATGCGTGCTGGGGATGGCAGCGACGCGGGTGCTGCGGGGGCGGCTGCCGGCGCGCCGCCGGCCTGAGGCGCGCGGCGCACGGGGACGGGGGCGCGGAAGCCCGAGCCCTCCTGCCCTGCCGCCGCTGCCTGCTGCTGGTGGGCCGCTGGCGCCGCCTGCTGCTGGTGCTGGTGCTGGTAGAGCGCCACGGGAAGCGCGCCCTGCTGCGGCAGCGGCGGCCGTGGCTGCGCGGGCGCGGCGGGCGGCGGCGCCCCTTTGCGCAACAGGCGCACTAGGTACTCATCAGGTTTCTCTTCTGTGCCGGCCTCAGAGGTGAGCAGCCTGCCGGGGGGGGTGGTCAGCGTGTCCCGCTGGCTGCTGGTGGCGAGGCTGGCGGAGGCCACGTGGGCGGGCGCAGGCGGCGGTGCGCCGCAAGGCCTGGCCGGCGGGGGTGGCATGACCGCCGCCCCACCCGCAAAAGTCGCGGGCGGCGCGGCTCCGCATGCCCGCTGCTGCTCCGAGCCGGGTTCGCTGGGGGCGGAAGGGCACAGGCCCGCCAAACCCCCGTCCGGGCTCGGCCAACAGGGACCAAGCGGCTGCGCTGCTGCCGCCCTGGGCGCCTGCGTGCCACAACGCTTCCGGAGAGGGTCAGGGAGAGGCCAGGGGGGGCGCAGACGGGTGGGTGCAGCCGTGGGCGCCCGGGGCGCCAGACATCACCGGCGGGCTCACCTCAGAAGCCTCCCCCGCGGGGCCCGCAGCCCGAGGCTGCATGCTGCTCAACAGCAGCAGGCTCTCTGCTTCGTCCTGCTGCCGGAATAGTGCGTCTCTCGTCGAATACACCGTCACTTGTCTGTGCGTTGCTGGGCCTGCTTGGCCAGCCGTTGGAGGGTGTACTGGTTGGTTTAGGAACGCTAAAACGTGGTGAGGGGGTCCCCGGGGGGTGGGCGAAAGCCCCCATGCCTGCGCTTGCGCAGCACGCAGCATGAAAAAGGCAAGATTTTTATGTGATTCGTGCAAATCTTGCCCCGGAGCACCCCCGCAATCACGCTCTGACCTCCCCATTTGTTCATGTGTTGCCTAGGAGTCAGGGCGCAAGGCCTGCAGTGCAGCCCAGGGGTTGGCAGGCGGGCATTCCCCCGCCGAGGCTCGAGGGGCTTCTCCGAGAAGTCTGCAGCCCAGGCAGTGGCTGAATGCCCGATTCCCTGCTACATCACGACGGTGTGCCCTATTTAATGGATCGAGTGCAGTTGCTGGAGGGGGCAGTTGGCGGCTCCGGCGGCCCGCGGTGGACGGCCGCAAAGCGGTTCCGCAAAGCGGCCTTCCTGAAAGCTGCTGCCGCCACATGCTGGGCTGCCCGGCACCTGGGCACGTACAGCACCTGCCGGGCGCCGCTCTCCTCACCCAGCCAGCCTCGCCACAGCCACCCGCCACAGTCCACGCTGCCCCCGCCGCATCACCACCCTGTCAACTCACAGGGCACTCCACCAAACGTTTGTTTGTGTTCAACCAAATCATTCGTTCACTTTGCTTCTGCAATGCGTCTCCCCAGCAGTTCAACCAAGGCTGGCTCCACGCCGAGGCGGCGGCTCTCTGCCCAGCTGCCAGCCCCGCAGCCTGCCGCCAGCAAGCCGTGCAGGCGACGGCTGCTGCCGCATCACAAGCCCAGGTTGCGCAGCTCGGTGGAGGAGACATCCGCTCGGAAGTCGGCGGCGGGGATCTCATCAAACAGACCCTGCAGCAGGCACCCAAACCAGACAGCGGTCGTGCAACCAGGCAGGGGCATGGCAGGGCAGGGCGGCGGGAGGTGACATGGCACAGCAGTGCAGCCGGGCGAACCAGCCAGGCGAGCCAGCCCGTGGCTGCCCCCCGCTCACCCCCCGCGGCAGCATGTCTGGCATCTCCAGGTCTGCCAGCGTGCGGAAGCGCCCCTCCTCGTCGCACCGCCCCGCCACCAGGAAGCTGCACCCCTGGTGCCGCAGCTTGGCAAACTGCGGCGGGGAAGAGCGGCCGGGGAGGCACGGTGGCATGTCTGTGAGCATCATGCTAGCAGGCCAGCCGGCGGCAAGCTCGCTTGCAGTTCCCCATCCACATGCCCCATCCACATGCCCCATCCACATGCCCCATCCACGCCACCCCGTCTTCCCCATGCCCCTCCTCCCCAGCCGCCAGCCACCAGCCGCCACGGCCACCTGCACATCACCCCACCTGCAGCAGCATGGCCTGGTCTGAGCCGTAGTAGTCTGGCTTCACCAGGCGTACCGCGGTGTCGTACCCCACCACAAACACAGAGTCGTGGAACAGGTCGGCCTTCTGGGTGAACAGCGGCGCCTGCGGCAGGCAGGCGGGGCGGGCAGGCAGGCAGGCAGGGAGGACGTGACGGTGGTGGGGGGAAGAGGAGGAGGAGGAGGCGGCGCGGGGCACGCGCGGGCGGGCAGGCCACGTGTTGCATGCACGGGATGAAGCATGCGCAGCAGCGGCCAGCCCTGCCTGCGTCACCACCAGCGGCAGTCCCGAGGAGGTGAACTGGCTGACGCGGCGCTTGATCTCCTCCAGCGGCAGCAGGCCCTTGTCCGCGTTGCCGATGGACAGCTCAAAGCAGGGCTCCATGTCGGGGCGCAGCCTGGCGGCAGCCTGCGGCAGGGGGCGGCGCAGCCCGAGGGAGTCGCTCTCCATGCCTCTCTTCCTCCCTCTTAACTCCCGACAGGTTTGAGAGGAAGCAACAGGTGGCTTGGCTGGCGGCGCGGCGGCGCTGTTCTGGTAGGCCCTGCGCGGCCCAGCCTGCCCCCTTGGCCTGCTGCCAGGCCTGCCCCCTGCCCCGCCTCGCCTGCAGCATCTCCTTGTGGCCGTCATGCAGCGGGTTGAAGGATCCGGGCAGGTAGACGCGGCGCGGGCGCGGCGCATCCACATACACATTGCCGCCTGCAGGCGCGCCAGGGGGGCGCGGGGTGTGGGTCCACAGGCGCAGCCCCCACGCATGGGGGAAGTAAAAACGGTCCCTCCCCCCACTCCCACCAGCCAAATGCAAACACACGCATGGGCTGCTACCCATGCACACCCACACAGGCAGGTCGCCACACCCACACGCAGGCCACCACACACACGCTCTCCTGTCCAGTATAACCTCCACCCACCCACCCGTGAACTCCACCGTGTCCACCCGCCCATTCAGCATGTCCTTGAGGATGGCATCCACATCCAGCGCCCGGCTGTCCACCTGCCCCAGCAGGGCACAGCGCACGCAGCGCACGCAGCGCAACAACCGTCAAGCGCGCAGCCGTGCGCGGGTGGTGCCCGGCACGCAGCGCACGCAGACGCAGCAGGTGGAGCCTGACCGATTGCGAGAAGTAGGCACGCAAGCAGCAGCAGCAGCAGCAGCAGCGGACGACGACGAAGCAAGCAAGCAGCAGCAGCAGCAGCAGAAGAAGAAGATTGACGCAGGGGTGACTCCAGGGGTGATGCACCCCCAGCGCCTCCCACACACACACCTGGAACTTGTCGGTGGCCGCGCCCTCCTCAATCAGCCCCAGCTCCAGAGTCTGCAGCACAGGTGACAGCTCGGGCAGCTTGGGTGTAGGTTGTTGGCAGCTGCCAAGCGGACAGCTCTGGCTGCGGGGCTGGATGAAAGACCCCATGCGCGCATGTACAACACATACACAAACATGGTGTGTGCGTATACACACATATCGTGTGTGTATATACACGCTGACCTGGTCCCCACCCCATCCGCCTCCCCCCACACACACCACACATGCACAGCCCGTACACGCTGCCCGTTCCCATCCCATCCGGGCCGCCACACATGCACCACACGCCCACCCTGCCGGCCGGCCCGACCTGCGCGCTGAGGCCCATCGACTCGGCCACCGCCTTGACCAGCAGCCTGCTCACAAGCGTGTCCTCCCCCAGCCGGCTGCGCGCGTTCTTGGCCAGAAGCAGCGAGAAGCTGCGGGCGGGCAGGCAGGGACCACGTTAGGGAGAGGGCGGCGTGCACGTGTGTGTGTGCGCAGGGCGCGCAAGCGGGCCTCTCAAGCAGGAGCCAGTCACCAGCACTGGGGTGCCAACACCTTGCCTCAAGCCGCCGCTGCGGCCCTCCCGCGGCGGCAGCCGCCTGCCCAGAGCACCATGCCCGCCGTGGCCAGCAGCGCCCGCGCCGCCAGAACACCCTGCCCACCTGCGCTCCTGGCTGCCGTTGTAGGTGGTGATGTAAGCCTTGTGCTCCCCCCGCTTCTCGCGGTCTGTGGCCAGCGCGCAGGTGCAGCCGACGCCGACGATGTCGGTGCCGAAAGACGACAGCTTGGCGGCCTGGCGGTAGGCGGCCCGCGCCATGGCCTGTGCCGTCTCTGCGGGGAGGGCGGCGGGCAGGGCGTGGCGGCACCGCATCGGCACGCCTCCAGCAGGCACCAATCCCCGCTGGGCTGGGGGCGCATGAAGCGGCAGAACATGCCGACACACGGCAAGGTGCAGGCCGCTGCATGAAGGTGGTGGGGTCCAAGGGCCGTATGGCAGCACCACGGCAGCACGCTGTGCTGCTCCTGCCATGAGCAACTGCACAGCAGCATGCACTGCAGCATGCGCTGTAGGCGTGGTCGGGCTTGCCTGGGCAGGCGTAGACCTGCGGCGGCGCGCCAAGCACATCCGTCAGGCTGGCGCGGCTGTAGGGGATGCGCATGTCCAGTACCGTGCGGGACGCACCCGGCACAGACAGCAGCCACCCCACGGCCTGCAGCAGCCCAGGGGCGGTGCAGGGCGGGGGTTTGGCGTTCGGGAACATCAGGCAGGACGATAGACTGGCTCCGCACCAGCTGCTGCTCTGGCCCCCGCAAATTTTGGCTCAGGCCAGCAGCAGCATTCAGCCAGGCAGGCGGGCCAGGCCAGGCACCAGATGCTGCTGTCTGGACACCTGATGCAGCAGGCAGGCGGGGCAGGCAACCAACCTGCGAGGCGCCGCCGCCCAAGTAGAGGACGATGCGAGCTGTGGAGCTGTGAATGCGCTCCACCACATTCTCCACTGCAGGGTCCATGGTTTCTGCTGCGGGCAGGGCTGCGGCCGACAGCTGCCTGGCCTGCAGGGAGCAGAGCAGCGGCGGCGGGAAGCTCGGAGCGTCGGGAAGGGCAGCCGGCGACGGCGGCGCAGCAGCAGCGGCATGCCCGCCGTACCAGGGCATCCGGCAGGCCCCACAAATCCGAGCGCGGCAGCCAGTAAACCCTCCTGCAGCCTGGATTGAAAGGCCCCGCACCTGCGTGCGATCGGGGCCCCTCACGCCTCGGCTGGCCAGGCCCCTATTCAAAAGCCGCTGTGAGGGCCGCTGCCACAACGCCTGCCCGCGAAACGAGCAGCGATCAGTCTGGCCCACAGTCCACACAAGCAGCCGGTGAGCCCTAGCAGCCACGCAGGTGCTCAGGCCGCTGGACATTATGTCGCGCCCGATTGTCGGAGGCGTCAGGTTTGCGCCATTCAGGGCATGTCCAGCGCCGCCCGCTGGCGGTGAGCTGTGCCGCCGCTCTCAACGGAAAATTATACTCAGACTCTCTGTCTGCCTGAACAGTAGGCCATTACCGTTGGTGGAATTCAGTGCTGAATAAAAGGCGAATAAAGAGCAGGGCTGCTGGTGGCAGCTGGCTGCCGCGGCCTCAGGCCACCCACCGCACGCCGCCGCCGCCTCCCGACACATGTAGCGGCAGCGCTGCTGCCTGCCGAGCTGCCACACATTTGCCCAAAGGCCTCAGAAGATCTCCGCCAGCGTGCACCGCACGCCGCCGCCACCAATGTGCTCCAGTGTGTCGATGGGGGCGTGGTGCAGCGCCGCCACGTGCCGCCTGCGGGCATATGCGGGGCACGCGTGGCAGGCGGGCAGGTAAGAACAGGCTCACTCAACCCATGCTCAGGTACGCAAGCAGCCTCAACGCATACACATCCCGCCGCCGCCACCGCACACGTGCACCCGCACATCTCCGCACGCGCCCACGCTCACCGCAGCACGCGCTTCTGGTCCTCCGTGAAGGCGTTGTAAGCCTGCGTGCTCATGGCCAGCACCGGCAGCCCGCGCCCATCCTCCAGCTCCAGCACATTGCCGCACAGCGCTGCCATCTGGCGCCGGCAGGGGTGGCAGCCGGGGCGTGTCACTACATGGCCGCACTACCTGCCCCCCCATCAGCCACACTCCACACACTCTCACACAGCCAGCCAGCGATTTTACACAGCCAGCCAGCCAGCCACACCCCACACGGCCGGCCCGCCCGCCCGCCGCCCGCCGCACCTGCTGGCGGGTGATGTCCACGATGGTGTGCGTCTGGCCCAGCTTCTGCTGCAGGTTGCGCCGCTCACCCTCATCCTCCACCGACTCCAGGCACACCACCGCCACGTCTGCGGCGCCAAGGCAGCGGCAGCCACACCCCATATCACACCACATCAACAGCAGCACGCCCCCATGCCCGTGCGCCGCTGCCCACCTGCCCACAAAGCCCGTGCCGCCCAACCACACACCCCGTGCTGGACGCCCTCCACCTAGGTTCGTTTTTCACCCCACCCTGCCTGCCAGAGGAAACGCGTCCACCCCACCACCCCACCCGGCCCGCCGCAGGCCCACCCGTTCCAATGGCCATCATGACGTTGGTGTGGTACACCGTGCCGCCGCCCGCATCCGAGCTGGTGAAGGTCACCAGGTCGTTGTAGCCCAGCTGCGCCACCCAGCGCTCCGCCAGCCCGCGGTCCGCCCGCTCGCTCAGGGCCACGTATGCCACGCCGTTGATGCGGTCGATCACCAGCACGCCCGTGCTGCGGCGGGCGGGTGGGGTGGGGTGTGATGTGATGTGATGTGATGTGACGTGATGTGATGTGATGTGATGTGATGTGATGTGATGTGATGTGATGTGATGTGATGTGATGTGATGTGATGTGATGTGATGTGATGTGATGTGATGTGATGTGATGTGATGTGATGTGATGTGATGTGATGTGATGTGATGTGATGGGGTGGGATGTGATGGGATGGGATGGGGTGGGGGTGGCCGGGCGGGAGGAGCGGCGCAAGGGAGGAGGGACGCCACGCGGCCGACGCCACACTGCTCCACACACGCGCTCTCATCCACCACACACCCGACCTACACACACCGATCACCACACACCGCCCCACCAGCCCCCTCGCCCCTCAAAGCAGCATCCTCCTAAAAGGCAGCCTGGCAGGCCCCGCCAGCAGTCCATGCCCCACACACACACACACACACACACCGCCCTCACCCCTCAAAGTAGTGCCCCTCCGCCTCAAAGGGGCTCATGTCCAGCGTGCGACCATACCCCCAGTGCTGCAGCACCTCCTTGATGTCCTCCCGCCGCTCAGCCTGCCTGCAGCAGCGGCGGCAGCAGCGGGTGTGCC